GAGATAAAAGAGAGATAAAGAGATCAGAGAAACGTTACATGCAGACAAAGTGACTGTTGTCTTTTGAAGAGGTCCATTTGCCAGTGTTGAACAAGGCTAATGGGAGTTGGCGTTATTAGTACAAGTAGATAATTACNGAAATTAAGACATTTAAAGTAAAAGATTTCATATATCAGCAATGAGGAAAAAACCTAAAGCAAAACTACACGCTTGGGTTTGATATGAAGACAAGTGCTTTTTATTAAAGTCTRGAATTTTAGTGATTTTGTGTCAAAAAACGAGAAAAAAGTAATGAAGTTAATATGAACACTTCATAAAAATTCATTTCTTTGATTGTCAGAATATTTTTCTTCTTCTGACAAATGTTGGGGAAGAAACAGATTTAAAGTTGACATATTARCAAAATCCATGTTTTTAGCCATTAAATACATTTTGTTGTGTACTTGAATAAGTTGAATTCAGTTTCTCCCGATGCTGCGCAGACATCTTTATATTCTGTTGGGGTGATATTTTTCATCTCGTTCAGTTATCTCTATTTCCTATGAAGATTTGTGAACGTCACACTAGCCGTGTTTCCATCCGATTTTAATTCAAATTTTGAGCGAATTTTTAAAATTTCGCAAAAAAGAAAAAAACGAGGAAATGTGATTCAGACGTGTTTTCACCAACTGGCTTGAAGCGAATCAATTTAAGTCGACGCATGCGTGTAGTAAACAGGAAGTAAAAGTCGCATCTCAGGACAATGGAGAGAAGTTTTCAGGTACGTGTTGCTACTATCAGGAAAGTTGTAATTATTGTCATATCAACTAGTTCTGACGATGTTACTGCTGTCTGGAGACGTAGAGAATGAAATGTAATTCTCTTCACGTTACGGGAATAATTGAGAATACGCCAACAGCGGGAGGAGGGTCCAGCTGCAGTCGCTCTGGTATCGGCACCGTTCAGACAGCGAGAACAGCTGATCAACCATGTGAGGTGAATGTTCGCTACGTCAGAAATGATTCGGCAAATGTGTTTCCATCTCTCCTGTTGCGCGTTAACTCTTTTTCGAAAAAACAAAAAAACACTTCAAGCAAACATATCAACTTTTATGCGAATTAGAGGAAGTTTTTTCGAATCGTGCCATTTCCATTCACCTTTTCTGATGTGATACTTCAAAATGTGCATTAAAAAAAACGTTGATGGAAACACGGTTTTCAGCAGAACGTCTACTTCTACAAGGTCTGAACTTACCAACTACAATTTGGTGGGTGGTCTTCATTCTCCTCTGGTTCTGTTTCAGACTCYGGCTTCAACATGTAAGGCTGGATGAAGTCTTCCCTTGTTGACATATTTTAATTAATTTGTAAATAAAATGTTTCTGTTCTACTATATAGTCGTAAACCCCTCTATCAAACTGGAAAAGACCTGTCTGGAAGCTGGAGTGGGGCGGGACATGAAGGGCCTCACTTGGATTTAAGGAGACAGCCTCAAAATGAGTTGATCTGACAAACACATCAGAAAAGGGGCGGGGCTTGTGGAGTTACAATAAGGAGGAATTCAGACCAAAGCACTGCAGTTCCACTTTATATAGACCCCAAATGAAGGATTTTGATGTGAAAAAGAAGATTTAAAAGCATCATATGTCTACTTTAAGTCTCAGAGAACCTAGTATTTGGTTTAATACAACTTTTCCACTACATGAATGAAGTAACCTCGTTCAGATCTCCCAATAAATCCCACATGATGCATTCAAATGGTGCTAAACGCTGGTGAGAGTGGTCTCAAAATGCACTGAAAACACTAAGATTGGAGGTCGTTTCAACTCAATCAGTCCTGAGTTTTTAATAATTGGGCTTATTAATAGTTGTGTCAACAAAAATGCAACTCCAAAGGCTCTGATCCATGTTAATGTTCAAATGATGTCATTCAGATATCTAAAATATATCAGCAGACCTTCTTTTCTTAGCTAATAACTCCGATAAAAATCAACTTTTATCAGATAGCTTTACAAATAAATGACTATCAAGTGTATTTTTAATATATAAGTAAGAACTAATGTTACAGATTATTTCAATTTGTTGAAAAATAAAGAAACCAATATTGGCCCACTTCCTGTAAGTCCACCAATAATCCTCTTGCTATTAGAAGACAGACCCTCACATTTTATCAAAACACGCAGGACTGTGAATAACCCTGCATCTGATAAGTGCTGATAGGTAATTTTGGAAGAGATGAGAGGCTATTRTTCCCAGAACAGATGCTATGTCGACAGCAGGGCGAAAAACAATCCTGTAATTCGAGATAAGAGGTATCTGTGATCTCATTAGAGCTGGTAATGTCAAGCTAGCGTGGGATAAAATGTCTCTGCCCCGGCTGTGATGACAGGGCTTTTATGGAAGCAGATCCAGTAAAAATGGTAGATCATTTTTTATGTCATTCCAGGGGTGTTGTGAGATGCTGCAGATGTTGAAAGAAGAATTTATTGAAAAAGGTAATAAAATACATAATGTGGTTGTAAAAGTTTTCCTCTGGATCTAAAACTTCACATCCTGAAATAGGTTGGAAAAGCTGAGCAACAACAAAGCAAGCATAACCGAGAGCATAGCTGCAAACCTCATTAGYCGACACACACCGTGTGTATTCTCTGGATGATTACACGCTCCGGTCACCGACRGCACCTGCTTTGGTTGTTTTGTTTCTTTGACGGACCTGGCAGGGTGAAGTCCACACGTGTCGTCTCTGACTGATGTGGACGTACAGCTCCTGCGGGTAATGTCTAAAAAATCTCAGGGTGGAGGTGCGTGTGTGTCGGGCAGACCTGCAWACACGCACTAACTTTGGCTGACATTCATTCTCCTGCACACACACACACACAGGTTCTCCTGCATCCATTTAAATGCAGCGGGTGATTCCTCCTCACCCTCTGGCTGACAGAGCGGGTGACAGGAGAGTGGGACAGCATCAAGGTCAGCTGAGAACATGACCACTGTACAAAAGCTTGCTGTGATAAGACCTCGTTTTGCACAATGCATCATGTACGGCTGCATATGCCTCACATGTTTAAGGTGACGAGGTTAGAGCCAGAGTTTCTGACAAGCTTTTTTGAGGAAAATAAAAATAGACAATGAGATGAAGGAAAAACAGCTTTGGTAATTAGCAGAGTGTGATGTATATGAGAAATGTTACTGAGCTGGGTATGAATCCACTCCGTGTGTGTGCACGCATTATCTCTTCGACCTCAGCGGGCCTCACCTCTGAACTACTATTACTCACCCGCGCACATGATTCCACACAGCCGAGCAGAAAGAAAATAACTTCAAAGCGATAATAGTGTCGTGTAATTACAATCTGACAAAAGTCCTGAGGAGTTCAACTGTGAGAATAAATAATGAAAAAATGGTCTGTTTACAATGCAGGACTTAAAGGAGACCAATTATGGGTCCTAGAAATGTTTATGGTATGTCTGTGGGCTATCCAGACCATGTTCATTCAATTTAATGCACAAAATAATTCTCAGATAATAAAATTTCCCATTTTCTAGTTCTGCCTGCTCTGACTTCCGTTCAGAAGAACTGTTTATGTTAATGAGCTCTGTTGGTAACGCCCTCCAAAAATCTGTTGACATTAACTCCGCCCTCCAAAGCCAGTGTTTACGTTAGCATGGCAGAAGCTCCGTTGTACAACCATATGAGACCCAGAGGCAGAGTCGTGGTCGCAGCTTCTATTTTCTTTCTCCCCCTCCTCTGCTCTGCGCTCACTCTGCATGCTGTTACCAGAGCAGGGAGCAGCAGCGGTCAAAATACCTCAGAAACTCGAACAAATAGGTTTTAACAAGGCTTTAATAAGCTAAACAATAGAGGTACATGAGAAAACGTGTTCATAACAAACAAAAATATATAAATAATTAAATTGTGTCCATGCCGGTCTTGAACCCTGGTCTCCCACTCTCTGGTCCAACACTCTACCCATTGCCCTATTGGAGACTTGTTGTGAAATGAGCTGCACATTACACAACAAATATCATGATGGCTTTTTATACTGAGGAGGTGGAGTTTCACCCGGGGGTTGTTGGGTAAGGGGCTAAACGCTGGTTCCGGTGGGTTGTCGTACGGCTTGTGACATCACAAAATGACCGAAGTATAAAACTTGTCGTTAATATACATTAAAAATACATTTACTTACAGTAAATATGCCCCTGGGTGCATTGTTTTTGGTCCTGGAACTGTTTTTTTAAAGAATTACATACCCAAAGTTGAGTAAAAAAAACCTTTAAAAAGTGAATTTTGCGTAATAGGACCCATTTAAAGCTCAGCTCTGATATTTTTACTCAGAGCCTCTGTGTTGATGTCTTTCAGTTCTGGGTTCAGAGAGAAAAAAACATTAATCACTAATCATTTCTACTCCATAATTCCAAATAAAAGTCTCCATTTGATTGGTGGAATAACTTCAAGCTTCCGTCTGAGAGCCAAACTGCATATATGCACACTTTTGAGCCAACCATTTATTGCAGTTAATGCAATTTTTTTTGCAATATGCTTATTTCACAGGCTGTTATCGCAATAATGATAAATTTTAGATAAACTGTCCAGCCCTAAGTAAAAAAGTTTATATCAAACCATTAGAACAGATCATAAAATCCCAAAATTCTTAGAAATATGTTGCACATAAGACACGATTGCTCACACATTTTATTGCTTGATGTATTTAAAAATACAAAAGAGAAAACTCAGCTAACTAATAACAGAGTYTTCTCGTAATTTAACACATCTCAAAGTAAAATTAATCTGACAATTGTGATTTTATCTGTATTTTCCTCCCCAGACAATTGAGGACAGAATATTAAACGAATGACAAACACACACACACACACACACAAAAATAAATAAATGAATAAAAAAACAGAAGAACTGACAGAAAACTGAAAAAGTAATCAGAAATAAAGAGGGAATGGAAGCTTTGACAACAAAAAGAACTGGATGGATGGTGAAAGGATGGGTAAAAGCAGGCAGATAACTCACCATCAATCCTGCTGACCAGCTCCTCCAGGGCCTTGACTTTCCTCTGAATGCCTGGCTGAGCAAATGTATAGTTGTCCTGAGGAAAAGAAGAAGAAGAAAAAAAAATCAAAGTCAATGTGAACTCTGACTGCATCTGAAACAGAGAGATAACATCAAACAGCCGACTTGTTTTAGGGTTTGTATCACAGCTGTTTAAGAGAAAACAAAGGTTTGAGGCAGGTCAACTGATCTTTTGGCCAGYTTTTGTTATTTTTAAAAATCAAACTGACAGCCATGTCTGAGTATAGTTAACCAATTAGCAGGTGTTAAATGCAATACTGCTTTATCTCTCTCAAGGACTTCCAATGGTGAGTGTCACTTTGATGGAAGGAGTGCAATTGTTGGTTCAAAAGTGGAAAAGACCAAAGAAAGTTGACTAAAATGTTACGTTAACTTTTTCTAGACATGTCAAATCTACAAAATAAAAATAAAAATAAAAACATGGAATGGCTTTTTTGCTGCTTTGATTGCTAAAGACTGGCATCAGTCATTGGTAAACCATG